GTCCAATACTCCCAGGTGGTTTTCTAATGATTCTCTAACTAATGTCAGCTCATGATGAAATCCTGAAACCAATAAATAAATATTTATTGATTAACCTGTCTCCACTCAACAATGTTATTTTTAATAATTCCATTCTATTCCTCCGTACTGTGTGATTAGATGCAAGTGGAAGCACTGCAATGCCTTAGTTTTTTTCTACATTCTTTCTAGGTCTAGCTTGATCTCTACGTGCCGATAATCTTATTCACTCTGATCTACCAGTTTGACCTATCTAGTTGACATCACATAATATTTAGTGAATTACATTATTTTCATTAATTGGATCAATTAAGTCCTTAGATCGACAAAATTTATCCCTTAGTAGGTTGGTTCGTTTAAATACCACTATAATTCCAGACTTATTAGCAATCCTAGGTAGAACTGTCTGATGCTCCTTCTGGCCTCCAACCATCTAATACCAACATTTCACAGTGCACCTTAATGGCGAGCCACCTAGCACTATGGTGGCCACATTGCAAGCTTGACTGATAGAATTCAGTCTACACCGAAGATAGGACTAGACACATTACACTAGTTACTAGGATGTTCCTTCTTTATATGTCAGTGCTGTCGAGGTTTTGAATTACTCATTATGTATACTGTTTTTATTATTAATGCTTTTATTTTTCTAATGGATCTTTATGCATTTTTGGATAAGTTCTGGTAGGCAGTTGATATGAATGGTTACGGGCGATAAAAATGTGCTCGACACGTCATCCAGTTACTACTAATACGTTATATCAAATAAACGTATCTAATATGGAACTATATTCTACTACTTATGAATCCTGATCAGGATTTGATCGAATAGTTGCAAAATAATTGAACGCCGAGTGAAAAGTAGATGTATATAAAAATTCTACTTGTGTAAATTCTCAGCGAAACTGAAATGAGTAATTCCAACGTTTCGTTCAGCAAACTGCTCAAAGCTTTTTAGGGACATTAATCGAAATTAGAGTGACAAAGGTGTATATTTATGTGTATCAAGGATATTTCTTGTCTTCAGAAAAACTTTGTTCAATCATATGAGTCACGAAATAGGCATCAACATATAATAAACAAAATTGTATGAACTTGTACTGATAAAATAGAAGAAGATAACCAATAGAGTTGCATGTACCAGATCAATTGCGGGGATTATAAAGCCGTATTTGTACGAGATACTTTCAGGCAGGTGAATATAAGAGTGAAGAAGCATAAATAATGTCTTAAGGTGGTTTTCAAAGGCCTCTGAAGGTCTGAAGAAGCTAAAAAATAGATTGGTGATTTTAATGCACTCAACTGAAACGGGACGCAAGATCGACTTTGATAGGGTTAAGGTTCTACAGAAACGTTTCGGTTCGTATAAAGAACGACTGCAGAATCCCTACATATATATGGGTGAGTAGCAGGAGTTTGGATAGGCGTGAAGGAATGATGTTAGCGGTAGATCTATGTCGTGAATTGGCAGAAGTTGGAATTCATGGACTGATCACTGGATCAAGTCCCGGTGGCTTGGTGGTCTACGAGCTAGCTTGTCTTGTAACCAGAAGGTCCTGGGTTCGCACCCTTGCGGTGGGTGACTACTGCTGAATAAGAGTCCCAAACTAGGCAGACGAAACAGTTGTCCAGTACTCCCAGTTGGTTTTCCAATGGTTCCTTAACCGAAGTCAGCTCATGATGAAATCCTGTAATCAGTCAAACAAATCCCTACAAAACCAATACTTGAATTAAATGAAAGCATCACAACTGTTTATCCTAATGATATCTTTCACTTTTAACATAATTCTAATTTATTAGATAAAATCCCTACAATATTAATTAAAATAACCGTATCAAAAATAAACATCTAGCATAATCAAAACTGCACTAGCCAAATGAGCTGTCTTAGAAAAGGAAGACTAACAATGAATTCTTTCATCTGCTAAAAAGCAGTTGTGGAGCAAACTAACAGCGATGACAGAGATATGAGAGACGATGAAAACGTGAGTCCAACCTGGGAGGCAAGGAGAGAATAAGAGTAATAACAGTATTCTGCTCCGGAATTTAAATGTTTTATATGATGATAATAGTTCTGACTGTGATGGACTCGATCATTCAACAGACCCTGGAGAGAGAGAGGGAGAGAGGGAAGATAGGCGTATGTTGGAACGACTGAATAACTCTAGAATATTTGGACTTCATGCATAGGCGGAAACCAACAAGACTAGCCGGTGAAGAGTCCTAAATAGGACGAAATGTGAATCCTGGATTCCACTGCTAGTCACCATCCACCAAATAACTACTAGCAGAAGAGGTTGGCAACGAATACAGGACATCAAGTGAACATAAAGAAGACAGAGGTGTTGAAGATAACCAGCCAACAATAATAATAATAAGCACTAATCACTGTCAACAGGAGAAACTTCAAAGATGCCACTTCCTTTACTTATCTAGACAGCTTCGTTTTAACTATAGGAAGCACGGATGAAGATGTCGAACCCTATCAGGATTGAAAAGGTAAGACAAACCTTCATTGCTCTGAAATAAATCCAGAAATGTACTTCAGTAAGCATAAAGAACAATATTCAGATTTTTAACACTAATGTCAAGGCAATAAGTGCTTCAATCTGGTTTAAAGACTTTGAGTGTCACTAAAAGCATTTCCAAAGGGTTTACAATAGACCTTCACCAACGGCCAGCTTCACTGGCTGGATAATGAAGGTCAGATAGCCGCTTGAAAAGGATTAACGCTAAAGAACTCTGACAATGGACCAATCAAGGAACTATCGCTCAATAAAAAGGTCTAAGGAGATGGAGATGGACTGGACATATGCTGAAGAGACACTAGAGTTATATCATGCGCCAGATTATCACTAGAGTGGGATCCAAGAGACCCATTGAGAGGATCTTTGAATGTATTAATGAAAGCCTATAAGAGGTCGTGTAACACACGCTAAAAATGACTGTAGAGAACAGAATGAAGTGGCGGTGTTCTTCTGAAGGCCTACATATTACTCAAAATTCAAGGGAATAAAGATAAATTACAACATTTCTCATTATTTGTGTTAGCAATCAGTACAATACTAGGAAATGCAGTCTTTGAAGGCAAGTTTTGACCAATTTTGATGATAATACCGTAATCCAACAAATGTTCCTAGACAATAAATTGAATAAAATTATAATCAATGGGAAATATGTGAAATCTTCGGTATCATAACACTTATGAAGACTTGAGGTGTGTTTTACTGCTGGCTTTTGTGAAGGAACAGATAAATTTTGATTCCTTATAGGTTCGCTCACGAGTTGACGTCAGTTAGAGAACCACTGGTTCCTGATCCAGTAGCTGAATGGTCTACCAGCTCACCATCCTCCGTTCGAACCCTAGGGGGTACATACGTACTACTACTTACTGCAGGGCTGTAGACTAGGGCACATCAGCTTTCCAGTACCTCCCCCCCCAAAGTTTTCCAATGGTTCTCTAACAGGTAAATTTAAGGCGTAGAATTTCAGACATTTCAGCTAATAATAATAATAGAGAAAAATGGCAGATTAACTATGCACACACACACATATGGAAATGCAGTCTTATGTTTAACTTGAAGGGATGTGGAATGAAAATACTACGACTACGACTACAAGCACTACCACTGTTGTATGCTTTTCTTGACTAATTATCACCATATGGTAAAATAAACTACAAACAACACCTGTTTACAAGTTGAATGAATAATAGAGTTATCAAAATCATTGATGTGCTAAGGACAGTAAGCATACACTGACTGCATACTGCACTACATATATATATATATGTCACCTAATTTGTAATGTAACAACACATTCTGAAAAACATAATCTGTCATTGTTTTAAATACCTTTTGTCTACTTACTTGACTGACAAGTAAGTGGTTTAATTCTGGTTTCAATTCATTAGCCAAAACAAAACAAAAAAAAGATATCAGTGACTAGAATTCAGCTGTATCACAGTCGAAATTAAATATTAAAAAAATGGTACTATGCGCACAAATGATCATATTCTGACAGAAGGAATTTGTCCTTGATAAATGACAACTTTAAGTTGAGTATCTTGTATGTTTAAGTATATTATATCTAAGTCAGTAATTTCAGCGGGTTTATGAACACTGTGGATAAACTTTATCATGTGAGAACCGAATGAAAAACCAATCGGGAGTACTCGACAATCACTGTTTCATTAGCCTAGTTTGGAACTCTTCGGGGGTACGTATCCACCACAGGGTTCGAACCCAGGGCCCTCCGGCTACAAGGCAATATCTTAGACCATTCAACCACTGGGATAGGAATCAATAGCTACCGGGTGAATTCCAACTTCTACCATTTCGCATGACCACAAGTCAATGTCATCCATCATCAACAAACCAACTCTTCAGAATTAGTCTCATGCCCACTAATGACTGGCTGCCGGAGGAAGTTGCCTAGAGTGATTTCTAGTGAGAAGTCATGACCAGTTAGGTCCACCCTCTTGGAAGTGAGGACAAGTACTCGCTGATGAGACTGGCTGGTGGCCTCTTGCAAATTGGCAGGAGGTGGAATTTATGGGCCACTGAATTCTGTCTGTCTGTCTGGATTCAACATAGAACTTGGCACCGAAGTGCACCAGTTCGAGTTGCCACGTTCCAAATAGCACACAGAGGTAGACAAAAAGATGAGTGAAGAGAATCAATAGAGTTTGACAAGTATAAGAGTGAAACAGAATGGATAATGGTAGAAAGGAATATGAAAGATTACAGAGACTGAATACATCTGAATTGGGTCTCATTGGCTGAATGGTCTACTAGATTGTCTTGTAACCAGACTGTTCTGGGTTCAAATATTGGCGATTGATGAGTCCCAAACTAGGACGAAACAGCCGGGAATAACTCCTTGATGGTTTTCAATGTTTCGCTAACTGATATCACTCTGTAATCAAACACTGTGTGCTTAAACTTATCTTTTGTTATTATTATTTTTTTTTTCGATTTCAGAGGTATATACAGATTACCAAAAGGTGCTGATCATCCAGTCGATTCAACAGCTGAACGATTTACACCAGCAGAATGTCAAAAAGCAGCAAATGAATTAGGTCTTCGAAGAAGGCAGATGCGATTCTGTATGCATCCACGTTTTGGTTATGCAATGCTTGCTGTACTCAGAGCTGCACATGCTGTTGGTTATCATTGTCCAAAAACATTTTCAGATAGACGATGGAATTGTACTTCTATTCATCAGCTACCACATGTTTCACCAGAATTAAGACGAGGTGATTATTATTATTTAAATTTTTATTTGTACCTCTGAATAATATTTTTGAAAAATGGAACTCCTTATTCGATAAACATAGTTCTTCACCAATGTGTGGAGGCGTTTAAAAAACAAAAAAAATACCAAACCATGACAGCTGATTCACTTCATGACTATTTTATCAAATTACAAGGTGTTATACAAGACAGTTTCCTTATGGTGGCTGGTCTCCTATATAACAACAATAGTAATAATATTTGAATACCTGAGTAGTAGTAACAGTTTCATTCTGAATAAAGTGTTTATAAAAGTTTACATAATATTCAGCGTAATTTATTGCATTAAATTTGCTTTTCGTTCAAGATCTTTGTTAAGGTAGAGTAAAAACACCAAGTGAAATATTAAATCGCATCACTTTGGAGACACAAAGAATATTTCCAACAGCCTGTTGCAGACCTTTATCAACTACAACTGTCTTCGCTGGATCTATACTGAAGATCAGATGGCCGGGTCGGGCCGTAAGAATCACCAACAAGAAACTATGGGAAGAAACAAAACAAGAACTAATCATCCAACAAATATGAAGGAGAAAGTGGAGATGGATGGATTGGACACTCGCTGAGGAGGCCGCTGGGTGACATCGCGCTCGCGTCAGGCAATTGCTCGAGTGGAACCAGGCCGAAAGGGAAGTGGCGAGTGGGACGTCAGTGCAAGGGTGACATGGAGGAGATGGTGTGAAGAGGAGTTGAAACAGTATGGACTAACATGGATGGATGCAGGTGAAAAGTACAGCAGAAGGAAGACAGAAGTGGCAAGTGGAGACGTGCAGTTGAAGCCCTATGTTCCACTAGGAACCCAAGGGAACAATAATAATAATAATCTTGGAGAGAAAAAAGATGCGCTGAATACAGAACTCACCCACCATAACCAGAACAAGCTGGGTTCAGCAGAGGCATATCGTGTGCTGATCAATTTGCAACTCTGCGTACGCATCGTCATCAAAGAACAAAACACAGATTGGCAGTCAAACTCTACCTCAATAGCTTAGTGGACTTCGAAAAGGCCTTTGAAAGACATCACATACCGAAAAGAAATTTGGAAAATGATTCAAAACCACGGCGTGTAGTTCCCAAGTCTTCACTAACCTCATTCAGCAGATATAAGATGATGCACGTGTCAGGTGATCGACAACGAAAAATTCAATGAGGCTTTCTAAGTGAATACAGGAGTAGGACAAGCCAACCGCCTGCCTATTTTAATCGACGGTACTCCTAGTTGGGGTGGACTGGATTTCACAGAAGACTGCGCACAAGGAGTGAGAAGACAGGAATACGATGTACTGACCGATGAAAAGATTCCATTTAGAAGATCCGGATACCGATGTGAATGATTTATATTTATCGTCGCAAAAACTCAAAGCCTTACAGGAAAACACCAACAAAATGACTGAAGACGCTTGTAACAAATACAGGACAGATCTCAGGTAAACATAGAGAAGATGGTGGTGACAAAGATGACCAACAAACCAAGAACAACAACAGCAACAACAATCAACACCAATCACCATCAATGAGAGAAATTTGACAGAGGCTGCTTCCTTCACTTAGCATCATTTCAACTACAGGGCAGTGAAACGGATGAAGATGTCGAAGCTGGTCAGCCAGAACTGAAATGGCAAGATATGCCATCATCAACCAACCTGAAACCAATTTGAAAATATTCTCCACTAACTCAGCCAGCAGCATAGAGAAGAAGATTAGGATTCTGTTCAACACGAATGTAGAGTTAGTCAGTTCTTCTATACGAGTCAGAAACTTGCATTGCGTGTCACGAAAAGGATTTTCGACAGACCATTGCAAACTTTTGTCAGCAGATGCCCACTTCTCTGGCTGGCTGGCTGGCTGGCTGGCTGGCAACAAACTAACCAAGAGCCGATTGCTCCACAAATATTAGAGAGGAAATGGAGATGGATTGACCGGGTATACGCTGAGGAGACGGTCGATTGATATCGCCTGCTGGACTATTACTCGAGTGGAATCGAAATGGGAAATGACGAGTGGGCCAGCGGTGCAAGTGTGATATGGAAGAGATCGTGTGGTGACGAGATGAGAGATTATGATCAATCATGGACGTCACTGAAGAGGACAGCAGAAAGTAAAGGAAGTGGAGATGTGTTGTTGAAGTCCTATGTTCCACTCGGGACTGAAGAGAGTAATAAAAAATAATAATCAGGAAATTTAAGTATGATAGGTATCTGTAATACCTTAGTTGACGCAGTCCTATTCGAACTGTAGCATAAATTGATCCCTTGTGATATTTTTCCTTAGCCTTAGAGTAATGCACAGCTGTAGGTTGAAAGCAGGTAGCTCAGTGATTCAAAAATAAAATCTGTTTCACTGTGCAACACTTCGAACAGACTAACCTCGGAAAGGCACTTTTATCAATGTTATTTTGACGGAATAATTCCCCTTTAAGGAGTGTATCCAAATAGCCTTGCTATTTTAGGTAACAATACACTTCATTTTAGTAATAACTGACTGTATGTGCGAAATGACACTCAAGTATGGGAATGTAATTATCAGTTTACAATCCCATTTCATCACTTCTATTAAAACCAGTAGCTTGTGAAATTAAAGTTGATAATTAAAATGTCAGTCACATATATGTCCCGGGTTTCAATCCTCGGCCACAGACGCACTCCTTTACCTCGTTAATCTAGTAATAAGACTGGTAAAGAGGGAAGGTTAGGCATGAATCTAGCAACTCCATCCCGTAAACATGAACACCAGTGCTACCGAAAATCACTGAGGAATTAAGCATGGAAGACCATTGGAACTCTCTGAAGGTGATTTTCAACGAAACGTGTTCAACGGTTTTAGGAAGAAAGAATAGACAAGATAAGGAATGGCTCTCAACGGACACTTGGAAACTAATAGAGGAGAGGAGGATGGTGAAAGAGAGAATAATTCATTGCGAAGACGGACAAGAGAAAGAGACGCTGAGTTAAACGTACACATCACTGGACAAAGAAGTAAAGAAGAGTGTTAGGAAGGACAAAAGACAATTCTGCGACAATCTGGCCACTGGAGCTGAGAAGGCAGCAGGCAAAAGGGACCTGAGGACATTATATCAGATAACCAAGTCCCTATCCGGGAAGAGATCAACACAAGTGAAACCTATAAAAGACAGCCAAGGGAAGCCCATTACCAAGGAAGAAAAACAGATTAAACAATGGGCGGATCACTTCAAAAGACTCTTGAACCGACCATCACCTGCAACCGTCCAGAAATACCAACAACAGTGTCTACACAACTGCAAGTTGACACCAATCCTCCAACATAAGCTGAAGTCTTGAATGCAATCAAACTTCTGAAAGCTGGAAAAGCAGCTGGACCAGATGAAATACCCCCTGAAGCACTGAACGCGGACCCAGAGACTACAGCAGACATGCTGACTCCATTATTGCAAAAGGTCTGGAAGGATGGAAAGGTGCCTACTGACTGGAGGAAAGGTTACCTCGTGAAACTACCAAAGAAGGAAGACTTAGGACTCTGCTCCTGTCAGCGCCAAGTAAAATCCTGAGTCGCATCATCCTGGAGAGAAATAAAGACGCACTGGAGACAGAACTCTGACCAGAACAAGTTGGATTCAGGAAAGGTAAATCATATTCTGACCAAATTGCAACTCTACGCATCATCATCACAGAACAAAGCATGAAATGGCAATCAAACCTCTACCTCAACTTTATAGACTTTGAGAAGGCCTTCGACAGCGTTGAAGCGAAGTAATTTGGAAACTACTCGAGTACTACGGCGTACCTCAAATATTCATCAACCTTATTCAACAGCTGTACGACAACGGTGGCACATGTCAAGTGATCCACAACGGAAAACTCAGCCAGGCGTTTGGAGTAAACACGGGAGTCAGACAAGGGTGCCTATTATCACTCACGATGATATTCCTAATTGTGGTGGACTGACTGGATTATGCGTCAGACAGTGTGAAACGAGAGGACAGGGAGGGATATCCTGGACCGAAGTGAAGAACCTAGAAGACCTTGATTTCGCGGATGATGATTTATGTTTGATGTCACACAAAATCGAAGACTTACAAGCGAAAACCGACCGAGAAGCTGGTCGAAGAAGCAGCCGCCGAAGACAGGACTCCAAGTGAACATAGGCAAGACGGAGGTGATGAAAATAACCGACCAACAACAACAGAAGCAACATCCAGCGCCAACCACCTTCAACGGGAGGGATTTGAAAGAGGTTACTTCATTCACTTACTGATCTAGGGAGCATTGTCTCAACTACAGGAAGTCGGAACGGACGAGGATGTCAAATCGAGCGAGAATCGGGAAGGCGGGCGAGAAACACACACATTCATCAACCTGAAACCAATGTGGAAATCTTCGTCACTCAGCCAACATCAATAACAAAATTCAGTCGGATTTTCAATACAAACGTCAAGACCGTCGGCGCTTCTATATGGATCAGAAACTTGGCAGGCGGGTCACAAAGAATATTTATCAACTACAACTGTCTTCGCTGGATCTATACTGAAGATCAGATGGCCGGGTCGGGCCGTAAGAATCACCAACAAGAAACTATGGGAAGAAACAAAACAAGAACTAATCATCCAACAAATATGAAGGAGAAAGTGGAGATGGATGGATTGGACACTCGCTGAGGAGGCCGCTGGGTGACATCGCGCTCGCGTCAGGCAATTGCTCGAGTGGAACCAGGCCGAAAGGGAAGTGGCGAGTGGGACGTCAGTGCAAGGGTGACATGGAGGAGATGGTGTGAAGAGGAGTTGAAACAGTATGGACTAACATGGATGGATGCAGGTGAAAAGTACAGCAGAAGGAAGACAGAAGTGGCAAGTGGAGACGTGCAGTTGAAGCCCTATGTTCCACTAGGAACTTGAAGGAATAAAAAAGTACTTCACACAACTCATTCACTATTATTCCATCTCGTTCTTGTACCTTCACATAATACACTTTCTGATATAATTCTAATTTGCCTTGACTGACTCTTGTATGATGAAAGTGATGGATTTGTATCTGTATTGGCTGACGAAGAATCTATTCTTATAACAAATAATGAGATTTTCTTCATGAATTTTAGGTACACGTGAACAAGCCATTGTTCATGCATTTGCCAGTGCAGTTTTACTATTTGAAATTGGACGATATTGTGCACTGAATAAAATTCGTTATTGTTCTTGCGGTGATGAAGACGGTGCTTATGCTACACCAAGTTATCCTACATCATCACATCCCTATACAACAGGCAATGCTTTGTCTGGACAACAGCATAGAAAAAATTCTTATAATGATTTCAATGGTGCACTAGTCTACAGTTCTGGTGCTAACACTATGGATATGATGGAGGCATCAAAATCAAACAGTATCCCAATGACAGATGGTCAACCGACAGTGAGTAAATTCTACTGGGCTGGTTGTTCAGATAATCTGCGCGTGGCTAAAGAGTATACATCATTATTTCTTGGTTTTCCAAATGTACAAGTTATGCTGCCTCCACCAGTTGAAACAGATATGCCGAATTCTGATGCAGCACAAGATATGATGAATGGCCAGAATCGTTATAGAAGATCGACATATTCTTCTCGTGTTACAGAGAACAGTATACACACGACAGAGTATTCAGAATTACCTAATTTACTCCATGATCTTGTAACGTCAGATTATACTACAAATGATAACATGGATGATGACGATGATCTGGAAGATGATGGTGATGGAGAGACTGATGACTCAAACTTGTTTCCTTTACAACTTGAATACGCTGATAGACGACGTCGTAATTTACAAAGACCATGGCAATATCAACAAGGCATGAAAAATAATATGTACCATGCGTCTTATAATCCAATGCCGTCAGCCTATGATTCAGTGCAGAATACGCCAAGTGAAAATATGCCTGTTTCATCTGACCAGAGATGGCCACGTCGTCCAAGGTCAAGATTCGCCAAAAAGAAATCTGTAATACGTACTCTGAATCGTCATAATTATTTAGCAGGAGTTGTAGTAAGTTTTCATCGAGTTTCGCTCACTAATTGTTTTACAAAATACTTTATTTATCAGTGTGTATGAAATTATAATTTTTAGTTCTTTAGAGAATTTGACCATCTAACCGTATGTAATGTCATGTATAAGTGAACTACAATGACATGCCACCTAGCAATGGCGACCACTTTGCCAATTAGACGGATAAAATCTAGTTGCATACAGCCTAAAATAACTAATTAAATCTATGTATAAATCAGTTTCAACTTAATTGTAAAAGTGACATGATGTTAGTTTCTAGAGATCTGATTTTTTTTTCAAGAACCATTGAAAACTAGCCGTTAGTACTGAACAGATGTTTCATGAGCCTAGTGTGGGAGTCATTGGAGCACACACACACCACCAGGGGTCAGACCTAGAACCTTCCGGTTATATGGCTAGCTCGTAGACCATTCAACCAATGCGACCTGACTCATTCTCCCATGAATTCTAGTTTCTATCATTTTGTGATTTTGGAATGATGACCATCCAGTTTCATTGGCGAGTATTTGACCCCATTCCTAACCGTATGAACCCTGCTGGTCACGACTTCTTAGTAGAACTCCAGACAATTTTGTCCTGCAGCCGGTCACCAGGGTGCAAACTGGGACAAAATCGGCTATCTGGCACTCCCTGGTTTTCGATGATTCTCTAACTGAAATCAAGCCTTTACAGAAAACTCCAAAATTAATAAAAAGTGCTCAGAATTTTCACTTATATAACTTATTCACAGAAGGTTCTAGAACTAAAAAATAAAAATATTTGTATGCAATAGAAAAGAGGTTACGCAATGAGGACAGCTGCGTCGGTGGCAAAGCGGTTAGGACGCTCGCCGAACATGCACACGGTCCGGGGTTCGATCCCCGGCCACTGACTCACTCCTTTACCTCGCTAAGCCAGAAATAATGCTGGTAAAGAGGAAAGGTTGGGCATGAGGCTAGCCACTCCATGCTGCAAAACAAACACTGCTGCAGAAACTTCAAGCCACTAGCTTGAAGCCCTATGTTCAACTGGGAACGTGAAGGAAAAGAAAAGGACAACTGGTTTGCCAGAGCAGTCGTTATCAGATGCTTGAAACCTGATTTATGTGTTCAGAAGGAGGCAGTTATCAATCTCCTATTGCCTTGGTTGGTGTCTTTACTCAGCCTTGAACCTTCAATGTAAAATTTTCAAGAGACAGAGAGAACCATTGGAAAAAAGAGTGTATTACACATCTGTTCCGTCCTTGTTTGAGAGTCTTCATCAAAAGGCATCTACTGCCAGGGTCCGAACCCAAAACCTCTCAGTTATAAGGCGAGCTCACAAGACATTCAGTCACTAGGACAGTTTACAACAGACAGCCTATGAATTCCAACTTCTACTAACTGGTAATTTCAGAGCGACTACCAGCCAATATTATTGGTGAATATTTCTTTTCATACCGGACCAAGTGAACCAAAATTCTCAATAGAACTCCATGCTGTGGTCGTCCTGTGGTCAGTGACTAGTGAGCCTCAGATTATTTTCAACAGTCATTTAGTAGATATTTGACTGATTTCACTTCTGATCATGGATTGATTTCATTTAGTTTAATAAGTGTTATTTCTGAGCACTGTTTATTAATTTTGAAGTCTCCTAACTAACTGACATCGTGTCACACCTGCTAGTACGTTAAAATGGCTGTGAACATAAACCTTATTACGTTTCTTAGGCTGAATGCAGGCGATAAGAAGCCACCGAAATAAACAATGCTGTCATCTTATTCTTCACATACACACACTGTTGTTTTTGCTTTATTCAGATTCCTAAAGGAAAATACATGTGTGAAATAACAGAATTTTAGTTGGCACTAGGAATGACCACTTTTCAATGAAACATTTATAACTAATACAGTCCTCCTGGAAGTTAATCGGTCCTCAAATAGATGAATAATAATAATCTACTTTATTCTAAAAACAGTACTTACAATACAGAGTTTAATCGAAATAATATAGAAGATTTGTACCTCAGGTGGATGATTTGCAATTAGTAGCGTTCTCTAAGTTGGTTGGTTTAGTTGTGGAGCTTTCGTCGTCCACCCTCTGGACAACATCCCCTTTCAGCGCAATACTGAGCATAAAGTGAAATGATTCAAATTTCTTCATGAGTGATAGAATCGCGTCTCCCGGTAACCAACATCTTTACAACTGTATTGACCATTTTCTATTGGCTTGGATTTTAAACTTTCTGGTCACATGATTTACTTTTTATTAGTTCGTATACTTCGTCTATATTAACGTGTTTGTTAATTGTATTTTCGTTTGAGTACCAGGCTTCTAGGAATTACCTGGCACTTGTGGTGTTTCCTCTGTCTAAGATTTTGACATTGTCCCAATCAAATTGATGTCCATAACTGTCTGTATGCATTGATACTAAAGAATATATATCGTGTCTTTTCACGGCTGATTTGTGATCTTAGAATCTAATTCGAAGGGGAGGCCCACTTTATCCGATGTAATGCTTGTTAGTATCAATGCATAGCATATAGACAATTATGGACATCAATTTGATTGGGATAATGTCAAAATCTAAGACAGAGGAAACACCAAAAGTGCAGTCAAGGAATTCCTAGAAGCCTAGTACTCAAACGAAAATACAATTAACAAATACGTTGATATAGACGAAATATATTAACTGACAAAAAGTAAATCATGTGATCAGAAAGTTTAAAATCCAAGCCAATAGAAAATGGTCAATACAGTTGTAAAGATATTGGTTACCGGGAGACGCGATTCTATCACTCATGAAGAAATTTGAATCATTTCACTTTATGCTCAGTATTGCGCTGAAAGGGGATGTTGTCCAGAGGGTGGACGACGAAAGCTCCGCAATTAAAACAACCAGCTCAGAGATCACTATTAATTACAGAATGGAACTGTCAGCATTTGTCACAATATTACATCTAATTTACTCAGAATATGAATAAAATTAAAAATGAAAACGAAATTAACCAGAGGAATTTGTTTACATTTACGATATAAAGTCAAAAATGTTCGAAGCACGAATTGAGAATATTAAATATAATAATAATAATAACAGTGAGTTTGTTTCAAACAGTATTGTCGATTGAGTTTGGAAATTTTAGCATGTTATAGATTATTGAATCTAATGTTCTGTTGATATTGTATAGTGAAGGAAGGTACAAAATTGACAGTTATAACACAGCTTAGATGATGTTCACAGTGATGAAAAACTAAACAAATAAAAACAAAAAATTGAGAGGATTATTAATATAAGAAGTACAATAACAATAAAGGTTGATAGTGTAAGGGTGGAAGAAATGGTTTATTTAGTAGTGCAAAGAAAGTTAGTTAGTTCATGCCTGACACTATTTTCATCACATAAAGTAAATGCCAAATATGGCATACTGGAATTTTTATACCTAGACGTCCGTGCATAGAGTCTAGTGAGAAGACTTCTTGTTTTACCTGGGGAGGAGACACAAGGTTGGAGCTGCGTGAACTGTGGCGGTTGCTCACAGTCTGACATAATTCTTTTAACAAATTTGTCGCATGACACCAGGTGCCTACCGATGAAAATGTCAACAATGTTGCCTAATGGGATACCACTCACCCTACCGATAGACTTCAAAGTTCTACGAAGTATGATATAGTCTTTTTAAGCAACCCAGGGAAAATAAGAGTGAACAATAAAGAGGAATAGGTGAAATACACGAGTTGACAAACGGTAAGAGGAGTGGTTGGGTTATGCCTGAGTGCCTTAACTTCTTAATGTAAAACGTCTGATGAAATCTTTCTTGGAAATCTCTAAGACATGACAAGACCAGGATAGGTAAAAAGAAAGAATTAATCCAAGATACTTAACTTCAGACTTTCTTTCTTTCTTTCTTTTATATTTTTCTGATTTTTTGATTACAGCTTGATGACACACCGTATTTTCGATACAAGTATGGAATTTTCAGCATGTGATATCGGTAGCCCAAATTTTGCAGGCCAACCATAGATATCGGGTGTGCGTCGGCAGGGGGTCGAACCCCGGACCATGTGCATGGTTGGCGAGAGTCCTAACCACTGTGCCACCGACGGACTATCTATATCAGTATCATCAATTTTGCAAGGGTCATAGGAACCAATGGCTTCAATTAACTTGTCAAGGATGCACAAGGTGAAGTGGTTTGGCTTCTTAGAATGTTGCAGGCACAGCCTACTGAAGACAGCCACTATACACGAATCCTAGAAGATTCAAGTCTTTCCACAAGCTGTTCTTAACAGCGAAAAAAGCAATTGCATAAGTGAAATAACCTCTATGAGGCTTTGAGTTAAATGAAAACACACTATTAATTTGAACCAGTGAGTGAAAAAACCCATAAAAGTTTGTGCCATTCTTTGCTGCAATTTAACGGGATCTAGTGAACAAATATATGTTAATTTTGGCACTATATATGTATATATATTCACAGAGACAGAGAGAGAGAGAGGGAAGCATACAGATGAACAGACAGAGAGACAGAGGTAAAGTTTCATCATGGTTTCTATTGGAAACTGAAATTATTATTGGGAACATAATATGAGTGATAATAAAGAAAGTAATGCTCATTCATGTCTGTTGTCGTTGTTGCTGTTGCTGTTGGCCAGGAATCTTCATCACCTCTGCGTTATCTATGTTCCCCTGAAGTCCTTCATATCTTCGATGGTTCTTCTTCTTCTTCTGCCAACTTGTTGCTTTTCACTTGCATATCTTCCAGTTTGTGGGAAATCAGACATACATCACATCGGTGAAGTCTAGATCCTCCAAGTCTCTTTCTGTGTGAGCCCATTTTATCCCTGTTTCCTCATTGCCCGCCGCTGTCTGTCGCATTATCCAGTCTACTGCAATCAGGAAGATCATTGGCGATAATAGACAGCCTTGTCTTACTCTCGTCTTCACTTCGAAGGATTCCGTAATTTTCCCGTTGTGGATTACTTGGGATGCAGCATTGTCGTGTAACTGTTGGATGAGATGTA